CAGCCCAGCCCCCCCACTACGCTCCCCTCTGTCCATCGGCAGTCAGACCGCGCTCCACAAGGAGAGAAAAAGATATGGAGATGTTAAAGACATAGGAGTGTAGAAATTGTGGGACAGAAAAGGATAAAAGACCTGTGAAAAGTAGTGATGATCGTAAAAAAGATGAAAATATAAAGAAATTGAGGAAAGAAAGAAGAGTTACTACAAAAAAGAATGGAAGTGTTACTAGAAAAAACAAAAGAGGAAATGAAATGTGGTAAAAGACAAGCAAGAATGGAGAATGGACCAGAAGAGAGACAAAAGCCAGAAAGAAATAGAGACAAAAGCCAGAAAGCCAGAAAGAGAGCGAGGGAGAGAAAGTCAGAAAGAGAAAGAGACAAAAGCGACAGAGAGAGAGAGAGAGAGAGAGAGAGAGAGAGAGAGAGAGAGAGAGAGAGAGATACGAAAGCCAGAGATTTAGATAATGTTGAATTTGACTAACAGGAAGTGGTTATTACAAAATTACGTTATTATGAAGTTATTATTATGAAGTTAAATTCTGTGTAAAGAAATTTTTTAAATGACAGAAGCCAGGTTAAAATCTAAGGTTTCCAATAATTTAACACCGAAAAAAAGTACCGTTGGAGTATACCAGATCCATAATACTGTAACAAGAAAACTTGTTACAGTATCATTGATCCGGAATACTCCAACGGTTCTTTTTTTCGGTGTTGCTTAATCCTATCCTTCAAAACTAATACATACAGCCACGAGTCATGTCCCCTTCTTTCATGCTTTGGGCAGCAACCAGCAACCGTAACATGCACCTACGTACACTCCACATAGTTTGCCACAGGGCGAGAATCGTTCGGTGCCAATATGCACTAGGGATTAGCAATTACATCACATGCTATTGACATTGGGTACCACATGTCCTGCCACGAAGGTCGACTGCTCTGGCACTTCTCGTGGATCGCTCTTTTCAGGCCAATGTCAGAACGCCGTCAAAAAAACATCTACGTAACCGGTTCTCCGTCTTCCGATTCAACACAAACGCCTCACCACGTTCGTAAGGAAGGAACTCTCATGCAAGGTCCCGTTCAGAAATACCGATGCTACAACAACACGTGTACATTGATTTTGCTAACTTGGTTAATAATAAAAATTAATAAACAATATTACCATCGCTTCCACCTACTACTGCAGTACTTGTACCGTGTGTATTACCAGATCCAAACGTGGCTGGGAAGAGAGACAGAATGGGGGGATTGAATCTTCAATAACAATTTCTTAGAGCCGATTGAAACATTGTTAACCACCTGCGCCAGATTGTATTCTTAGTACATTTTTTTTATTGTTGAATAAGTGGATGCGGTACAATCTATGGACGTAGTAAAATTTGATTATGCAGATCAAGTCAAAAATAGAAAAGTGGTGCGGCGCTTAATTGAGGTACTATTTTCCTTGGCTTGTCAAGAACATTTTTTCAGAGGACACTCGGCAGACGAGTTTCTTAACAGAGGGAATTACATCAAAATTTTGTCATTGTTGAGAAAGTATGATGAAACTCTAGAAACTTGTTTTCAGAAAGCCGCCGGTTTTACAGGGTTGTCAAAACATATTCAGAATGATTTCATAGAAAGCATAACTTATGTTATGTTATGTTAAATGAAATAGAGGAATATTATATTAATATATATTGATATATATTAATTATGTTAATATATATTATTATATGTTATATTAATTTATTATTGTATATTATTGTTAAATGAATAGAAGAATTTGCATTTTCACGCGTTTGTTGCTAGGACGAGTCATATACGTACTCGTATAGCCCATAATCTCAATTAATTATACCCACACTATTACTTATTAATTATTATTAATTAAATTATATATATTATATTTTAATTATTAATTATTATATTTAATTATTTATTTAATATTATTAATCTATTATATTGTTAATTAATATTATAATATTAATTATTACGCCACATATTCTCAATTTATCGACTGTTTGTACATATTGTAATTCCAGTGGAAGGTAATCTAACGTTTTCTGAGTTTACTTGACGTAGTTCAAACGCGCAGCAATGCTTGTAGCAGAAATGTTGTTCCAAACTCAATAAATACGAGTGTAATTCCAATAGTTGCTAAGGTGTTACGTATGGGGTTGGCGTGAGTAATGTTTGGTCGAATAAATTGACTATCAGAAATCGTTAGAGACAGACATCTCGATGCAGTATTTGTACACTGCCTGGTATATACTGTACTTATTTAGTGCCTGCTCCCCGTCGAGTCAGTATCAAGAGTGTAAACTAGTTGTTCATGACTTTGAAGCCTTTTCATCTTTTTTTCTAATTCTACTAAACGAATGGAAAGACGTATTGGACATATTTCCAAAGTGTGCGTTACAACAGCATGTATATTATTAACTGCGATCTAGTTGCGACACCTCCGGGAAACGACAGATTATTTATGTAAATTTGTTGTTCGTCACTGTTATCGAAAAACAGAACAGTGGGATAATGACACTTATCGTGAAATTCGGGGTTTTAAATCTGTGCTCTCTGATTTTGAATTTCATTTCTTCATAATGACTTAGTGAAATATTTGATTTCACGGATTCCCTGTAGGACATCCTCCAATCGAGGTCGCTTGATGTAAAGTATTGGTAGCTTTCGAGTTTTGAAAAAAAAAGATTGCCTCTTTCCTTCGTCAGAAAGTCTAAAACTTCTTGGCAAGTTTACTACTGGGGTTGGCAATATGTTTTTAATTCCACCTGTGCGTGCCAATGTGACCTCTTTCTCTAATGTAATATTTTCATTTTCAATGCCCGTATCTCAGTTCCGATTTGACAATCAGCAGATTTTATTAATTTAATTTCCTCCTGCATTTTCCTTTCAATTAACTTGATAGCATTATCGAATTTTACTTCGGCATTATTTAATCTTGCGTTCTGCTGACGCAATTCACGTAATTGTCCTATTTCTGTGCTATTCAACTGTTCCCGTTGCTGTCCACCATTTTTTTTGTACGTGTGAAATTTCAGAATTAATTTTATCTAATAAATCTTTGTGTTCCTTTGCGTATATTCCGTTTTTGGATGTTTTTGCCTCGATGTGTCAAATTTTACATTTGTGACAGTGATTTTTACTTCAATATCAGTGCATTTGCGACATTTCGCCGCCAATGTCATCAACGCTTTTGTGTAACTCACGTTTCTTAATTTTCAACTCGCGTGATAGAGTCTTTCAATTGCTCAAACTTAATATTAAAAGCAACAAGACTGCTCTTTATTTCTGAATTATTACTTTCCATTTGATCAAATCTATTCTGCATACCTATGTTATCTTCTTTCATATCTAGTAATAACTTTAAAATTGAACTATTCGCGCCCTACTTAGACGGTGATTTCTCTACTTTCCATTCAAGTTGCACTACTCTCACTATTACTTTTATGTTTAATTTGTTACGTCTTTAATTGACGCATCTCCCAGCCCCGCGGGGCGTTGAGCGCTTTAATCAGGAGTAATCCTCCATTAATATTTCAATATGTCATATCCGTCACGTCTCGTCTCAGTCAGTTGTCAAGAGGACCGCCAGGTAGCATCTCCACGTACGCACCCCTGCGTCACTACTCAGCGGCCAGAATTGGGAAGGAATTTGGATCGAGGTACGGTTTAGGGCACTTCACAGGGGTTGGACTAGCCCCTATGAAGCAAGGAACCTCGTTTTGTCGTAACAAATTTCACATGAGGTTCTACGGGGCTTCTAAAGGAATCTACCCCGGAACCTCAGTGATGAACGACAAGCAACTTCGCTATTGAGCCGCGAGAGCAATATTACTTCTTGTAGTTACGAAAATGGAACTTGCACATTTGATTCGGTTTCTGTATTAACATTAATAATGATCTTCCTTTGAAATTCGTCCATCCCACCAGATGCACAAATCGTTCCATTGTCGCTTTCAGATTCTACAATTCGACAGATTCTACTGTCAGAACATATTTTCTTGAGGCGGGTCTATCGTGGTCATGTTAAACTATTTTCAACACGCATTAACATGGCGTAATTTCTATCTAATTTAAAACTACAATTATTGCTCATGAATCAATAAGATGTCTGGCAATTTCCTAAATTTACAGTCTGATAACTGCACATCAATTCAAAAAGTGAACTTCCAGAAATACTCCGCCTCAAGTCCCACTTTGGGAGCCATTTGTGAAGTGACCGCTGATATAATAATTAATAAATATCCTTATTTATTCAGTACCAAGGAATGAATTTCTACTTTTGTTGATATTACTGTTATATAAAGCTTTTAATTGATTTACTCTTCTCCTATTACTATATTCCTGCTTGGGCAGGCTAGAGAAACTCGCATAGTGTTAATCTACAAATATGTTTATTATTTATTTACCTTGCTATGCTCATAAGTTTGTCCTATACTGAAATGTTTATCATTTTGATTCTATTTCCATTTACTTGTGGTTTTCGACATACACAATGCTGTCTTACTACCTGTCATATGTGCACGTACAACCTATACAGATCAATGCGATCTGTGGAAGATCTGTTAATTAAAAATTGTTATTTTGAATTCACAGAATTGCGATCTGTGGAAGTTCCGTTAATTAAAAATGAATTATTTTGAATTAATGGCAACTAGCTATTAAATTACCAATCTTTTTCAAATAAGTAACTTCACATTTATTTAAAAAATTTGTTTTCAATGAGCTCATGATTTGATCTGATATGATTTCATTCTTATTCAATAGTTATATTCACGTACGTGTCAAGAAATAAAGCTCATGGCACGTGTGACCTTCGCGCGTATTGTCGACTTCTCGGGTGTACTCCAGATCATCTCTCTTGATGCCATTTGCTGTTCGTGTTACTGTCCCTCATACCGTACTCTCAACTTAAGTCGAAATCTGATAACAAAATGTCACCGCGTATTATCTGTCGGCTGTTGGTTTCGTAAAAAAATTGAAATAAATTATCACGCGGTCGCGACTTTCCTTATACTGTACCGCAGTAACATGAAACACAAATTACTGATTGCCAATTGAAAAGAGTTTCTGATTGTCTTAAAGCATACGATACTGAAAACAATAAAATTGATTTACCAATGGGCGTTTCTAAGTTGCGTATTTATCTGAGCAGAACTGGTTTTCATCGTGTGTATTTAAGGAGAGATCACGGCTTTGAGAATTTATTGCCACAATTCCAATAAGCAGCGCTGCCGCAGAACGCTCTTTCGCTGCGTTGCGACGAACACACACCTACTGCAGAAACACGCAAGAGTTTGGAAAGGCTTCACAGCTGTCATTACTCTCTATAAAAGAAGTTGGTGAAACTGAAGCAAACAAACCGCAGGAGAATTTTATAATCTAATCAATTATTTTGGAAATAAAAGCAGAAGGATAGATTTACAGTTCAAATAACTTGGCAGCTATTGTTCACACACAATTCATAAAGAAAATCATCTCAAAATGGTGAGTCAGATTTCTTTTTTTACGGTTAATATTATTCTTCCTATTATTATTACATTATTATTATTATTATTATTACATTATTATTATATTATTATATTATTATTATATTATTATTATATTAGTATTATATTAGTATTATATTAGTATTATATTAGTATTACATTTTTATAATAATATTTTTATTATTATTCGCAAAAATGTCCAACTAAATAACTACTAAAAATAAGCTAATATTAGTACTATAGTTGTGATCGATTGGTGGTAATACTACTGTGCATTCCGGAAGTCACCGATCGCCACTGTTGTATGTTAACTTTGTGGACGGTACACATTGTCAATCGACAGAAAAAACGACGCACCATGAGGCTACAAATCTCTGCTCTACACACTCAACATAATTCACTCTCTTGATACGACAACCTTTTCTCGATGTACAGGACATGTTATTTACTTTCTCGTATACGTACGTATATACGGAGTAATATACGTAGTATAGAGAAAGTTATGTAATGATGCATAAATCGATTTCGAGATGTCAACGGAAACACACTTTTTAGGGTTTACTGGCGCCGTAAAAGTGTTGTTTTTTTCGTCCGTCCGTCCGTCCACACTAGCGCCTAAACCATATGTAGGATTTTTTGCAAAATAAGATACTCCCCGGTCAGTCTGGCACGAGTCACGGCGCTGCGATTTTGAAAAAGCATTATCAAAAATGGCTCCAAATTCTTTTTTTCAATTGTTTTGAAAGAATATAGTAAAATACATTTATGAAGTTTTTCACTCTTAATTTTGAATTTTTGTAAATTTCAAAAGATTGGATTTTTAGCAGTGTCTGCCTACAACAACAAAATTGATGATAGCGATTTTTCCTGAAATTAATTTTTCTATATAATGAGATCTTTCATTAAGGTCGCTTTGGAAATGGAGCCAACTTTCCAACGGATAGTGCTAATTGCACCGTTTATTGTGACAAAGTTTATTTTGTGGTATTCTATGGTTTTTCAAAAATTGAACAAATTTATTTTTTTAACATCTGCCACGCCGTTAATGTGCACATTTCCAGCAATTTGTAAATACTATTGCATTTGTGAGTTAAAATGCTTTCAATCACTTCTATTGAAGTTTTCGAAAACTCAAAACTTTTCTGTGAAAAATTGCTCCTAGTTTCGCATTTACAGTAACGCAGCAACACCATTTTCGTAAAAACGGCTAAATTTTCCAATGAATTTTTATAGGACGAATTTCTACTGTTCTACGATATTCTGAAACTAATATTTCAGTCCTACCATTAGGGAACCAAAAAATTGAGAATTTTTAAAAAATGTAGTTTTAGCGGTGATATGTGGCATCTGGCAAGAGTATGTGGCAAGTCGGAATAGCTAGTTCAGACCAAATATTAAAGAAAACAAATACGAGAAAGTCTGTGCCATTCTGTAGCACCACTAGTTGTTATTTGTCAAGCGGTGTCGATTGTCAGTTTGAGGTCAATACAAGCAATGAACACTTAATTCACGGAGTATTTTGAATCGGCGAATGATAGAGGTTTGGAAACGTTTAGAAATCCAGCCGCACCAGAAACTCCCGAACCTACTTTACCGCCGGATTTTATAACTAAAGTGTTTGTAATTAATTAAATTTCAACATATGTGACATTGCTGAATTTGTCTTCTTAAAATATTCGCGTAAAAACAGTGATGTATTCCGTTCAAAAATAACAAGTAACACCAATACCTTTATAATAAAAATATAAATCTAAAATATGATTAGTACACTCATGTAACACTGCGTTTTGAATCTTTTGGTAAAAATTTGAAATCAATATTTTGAACCCTTTACAAAATATTCGAAGTTAACGTTTTTATTGATAAACTTGTGTAATTTATTAACTTAAATTTCGTAACGTTATTCATGGCAGAGACTGACAAAACTCTACGTATTGGTTCAGAACAAACCGTTCAACCAACGAATAGGTATAATGAATGAACTATACGTAGAAGATGCGCTGTCTGCATACTAGCACAACTCAGAAACGTAACGATTTCCAGGAGGCCGTGTTCTGGCGTAGGGGAAGTTTAAGTTTCCTCCGCCAGCGCCCATTCACCGCGTTTTGTTTTTTGTTTGCTTTCCTGGAAACTTTCCAAAGGCGCACTCTCTACTCAGAAGAATGCACGTAGCTGCTCTTTTGTCTAACCTCCACGTGTATCGGCGAACCTCTTTCAGGGGCGCCCTGGAGGGGGACAGCTGGGGCAACTTGTCCAGGACCCGTCTTAATTCGGCCCTCGACTCATTTTCCACTCAAAATAAATACATTTTTCGTTTAGTTGACTAAATATGCTCATTAATTCCATGCAAAATCGTCGATTATCACTATGGTCATGGCATGCGCGAAATTGAAGCTTCACAGTGCAATAAGTCCACAACTGCCAGTTAGAACTCAGAACTGATCAAAATCGTTTAATTATGTATCTATAACACAAACGTAGCTAAGGTATTTCCAAACGGTCGTGAAAGATTAACAAAAATGTACATCACAGATTATACATCAAAGACATATAATCAATGAAAGAATGAAACAAAATTATAAACGAATAATTAGTACTACTTATTAGACATGTTAATGCTCGCAGTAAAATAAGTTAAATTAGAAACCGTTACCCTACTCATACTTTGCATCAATTCTAACCCAGTAGTCGCTGTATAATGCACGGGCATATTTTACTTCACTTATTTGAACATGAGTGCCCAGAGAGAGCAGTTGTTTTTTGACACAACTATATTTTTTCACAAAATCAAGTCAATTGTTTACAATTTAAAATATCTATATTGCTCTTTACACGCCACGTCTTCAACATGAAGTATTACCATAAGCATGTTGGTTTAACGTTAGCTGACTAATGTAACAACATAAAATATTTAGCACGAGGACATCTGTTACGTGAAAACAATTCATCTTAGCATATTGCAAATATAAAAAATCTAATAGTAATTTTTATTTACCCTCTCTGCATAGTACACGAGCAAAATGTTTGAGTCAGAACTGAATCGTCTTTTTCCTTTCGAATATTAATACGTTTTGTTTTCTTATACCCGCCCTTCCTTTTTGTACAAAGCAATGTTTTCATGGCTTTGTCAGCTTCTAATATTTCATCCAAGATACGTTAAATATTTTCCATTTTAATGTTTCTTATTTCTTATTTAAAATTTTATTCTCTATGACACAAAGGTGATCATCAATATACACGGCAAGGCCTACTAAAATTGATCTCTTTCAGAACAAATATGACGTCATCAAATACATCCCCAAATGATAGAGATATGTTTGAATTTCTCAAAATGAAAATTATTCTATAATGGAAACGAAAAAATATTGAATGTAACACGTGAATGAAGGGGTATAATTGCACTCATGGTAAATAAAACTCGCTCCTATCGTCACTCGTTTCATTGAACAGATCACTCAAGCAATTACCCCCTCTATACACTCGTTCCGTTAATTACCTTTATTTATTTTTACATCAAATTAATCTCCAACGGCTCAGGGAATCAACTAATGTCACTGCAGTGCCTCTGATCGGGAGGGCCTAAGGTTCTAGTTCCGACACGTGCAGGATTTCGTCATTATCTACATAGGACGAATACAGCCGCTGTTTGAAGGAGAATTCCAGCGGTAGGTTGTTATTATCGGTAGTTTTCCGTGGTTTCTCCGATCAACAGCAGGCGAATGCTGGAGCAGTACCCTAACAAACGGGTCACGGACCGCGCACAATCTTTCCTTTCACTGCTTTGTCCTATCCTCACCCCCCCTGACTTGCACTACACTATCACGCGAGCATAGAGATGTCCCATACGGGGCGGTGTCTCGCTGGTGGTAATACCTGGTTGGGAAAAAACTTCGCAAGCCGGCGTGTAGGTGGGCGCTGACTCACCATCCTGAGGAAGGAATATCACCGCCACCTCCCACGATAAAACAGTCTCCCTCTAACGAGTTCCTTATGTTAGAACATTGCTGAAATTTCATGGAAGAAGTACACTGTACTCATGCAGATAAAATTAGTTGTGAAGAGATGCTCCTTCGAAGAACAAAACAGGAAAGTCTATCACGAAAAATAATATAAAAAAGCGTAAACAATGTGGGTGGCGATTGGTTGAGTAAATATTTGCAATTATGACAGGACCGAATGAGAAATAGAAGGAGAGGCAACACATGAAAATGACCTGCCTCTTCTTGACTAATCACGTTTCTTTTCTTAGTTAAGGCTGATATATTCTTAGTACTTAAATTAGCTTTACACACTTTAATCGAATTAATAATTGTCCTCTAATACGCTCCTTGATGTGATTGTTATACGTTTTATTAATTTCGTGTCAGTCCTGTCAATCGAAAATAAAAATACAATTGCTATATTTGCCGAATTATAATTATTTTGATTCGAATACATTAGGTGCTCTTTTTTATTTTAATAATGATTGATTTGAACTCTTGTCTTTAGAACATCCTTACACTTGTTGATCTTTCTAAATTTTCAATATTTCACAAGTAAGATTCTTAATTTTAATGAAATAACATACCATCAAATTATAACAAGTTCTTAATTTTTAACATTTGC